TCGTCCAGTCGTCTAATTGCCATGTCTCTGACGCATCGGCTTGCACCAATATCCCCTTCTCAGCTCAGTTATCGACATTACCTATCCACACAAACACTAAGTCATTTCGAATTCCTTATATCATCAAAATCATTTCATTAACAGTGTCATCAAAACCGTTTCATCATCGATTAAACTTTTCTTCAAATAACTTCAACTAATAATTTTGTAAATGTTCTGCCATGTGCTGTAAATCAAAGAAGAAACGAAGAAAATTAAATTTAATTAAATTAATTCTAATTGTTCAAATTATTTATTTTATAAATATTGTGACGTTATAAATTGAGAGCTGTTTCTGACAAATGTGGAGAATAGGTACAGAACAATTAATGTTTAGTCGAGACAAAAATATCCAACTTTCCTACAGCTCAACCCCTCCACGACTTACCACGTCAATTATAATTCTCCACCTTACCATTTTTTAATGGATCGATCATTGAGTCGCAGATGACAAACCTCAAAGGAGAAGACGAAGAAGAACATTTTACCAACTCACAACCCCTCAGGACCTGTCTCACCACTTATACACCATTATCTAAATACGGTAACATCATCAACATTATTTCGCCACCTGTTTAACACTTTCGGCGTAACAACACCCAACCAACTTATTATTTTGCTACCTCAGTACTCCACAACTTCATTTTACCCCTTCACTACCAACCGTCACTGCTAACATCACCACCAACCGCCACTGCTAACATCACTATCACATTCCCTACTACATTATTCGTAAGCTCTTCTCTGAAGCAACTTGTTTCACCTTTCCACCTTTTTCCCCAAGCATACGTTCCCACCTTATGTCCATTACCTTTATTATCGATACCATTTCTAATAATTCATTGCTCTTCATCCCTTCAACAAAACTTTTTCTATCAACTCCTCCTCCCACCAGCTTTCTGCAATCCTGCCCATTCCCACTGAATCAGGTGCGTTTCTACTTAGGTGAGTCAGAGCATCAATTTATGCTACTACAGGGCCTCCGACCGAGAAATCCTCGAGTTCGAGAACCGCGGATGGCCTTATTGTCGATCCGACCTATAAAGCAATGTCAAATTCAGTCGCAGCCTGGAGGAAAATTTTAGAGGCTGGCTGCTCTGATCTGTAGTTTTCCAATCAAACACCATGCAAATGCCGGACACTTCCATACATTTCGGGAAACCAATCGGGAACTTAGACCCTCTTACGGCTGGGGCGATGCCCCACTGATGGGAGATACATGAGTGGCGGAAATTCCGTAAATCGTGAAGGTCAGCGCCGAATTTCACCGACCAGCGTGAAAGATAACAACATCACAACTTTTCATAAATTCTGTACATTGTTCTACGTCTTATATTCTAATTTATTTCAATATTTTTTGTACCATCGCATGTCTCAAGCGACTTTGAATGGTTTGTAGGGATATATTACAATGAAGAATTCATGTTCGATTCGATTTTTGTCCCTTGATATTAATGAGTTTATATTATTCACGTTCAGTTGAATTTATTTTCGACTGAATTCATTATTCATTGCACTGATTTTATCAATATAATCACTGTTCATTACACCAATCACTTTTTGCTGAATATGTTTGTAGTGGAATAACATTTTTAATCGTTTGACTTTTTCATGGTAAAACCCTACATCAAAGACGCGAAAATGAAAATAAAGTAATATGAATTAATGGATTCGAATGGATTGGAATTTTGACAATTATGAATCGAAAATTATGTTACCACGTCTGTTTTGGCTTTTGCATATTTCAAGGCTAAAATCCAGGTCACCAGTTTTAAAATAAATATTTGAAGTGGTTCAAATAAATAATTGAAACAAAAGCCAACATAGAAGGATTTTATAAATCGTACTACTTTCAATCACTAACATAAATGTATTTTTTATAAAGATCTTCCGCACAAAATACGTTTTCTATCACATCTCCTTTTCTAACTTCATTTTCTGCACAATGAAAAAATAAGACCTAAAAAAATACATCATTAGAAATATGGTGAAAACGTTAGTGATGTAGGTACTGGATTACTAAATTGGTAATTCATGTGAATAATGAGATATATACTTAATATAATTTATTTATTTATAGACACAACATACTGAACTCTGAAGTTTATTTTCTTTGGAATGAAGACTAAATGGTACAATAATACAATGGTGGCAATGGTACATTTTTGGGTGGAAGTCAGTGTAAGCATCAGATATATTATAAGATAATGATTTATTTCAGTTTCATATTTTCCACAGAATCCATAACTTTTGGCACACCGAGAGATACCAGTTCATATAATTACATTCAACCAAGTATTCTGATAAAACAGAAGTCTCTTCACTTTAATGAATTATCATGCTGAATAGGTAGCTGTGCATTTTGTGAAGTTTATTCTTTAATGTTACTTGAAAGTAAGCCTCTTTAAAATGATATTAACAACGCCAATGAATTTAAATAATTGTTAAAAATGTGTACAATGTGGAGAGAACCTAGTCTATGAAGAAAATTTTTGACATTTCATTAGTAAATCAGTAAAAGTTAAGCATGTCACTGAATTTATAAGTAGTGGTGAATGGGTCAAGATAACGGGTAGACACGTTACTTCTTTCAGTTTTATTTGTTTTATAAAGTAACATTCCTTCATTATTATTGTGTGCTATTTTCAGACACTCTCTCACAAAATTCCACCCACTTCGTGCGTCATTGCGTAACCTTAAGCTCTTTGTGATTTCTTTAGTGCTAATAACTTTTTGGGTGAATTCGCAGAATTTCAAGATACAGCAATATGAGCAGTCTTTGAACATGAGTGTAATGGTATCCAACTGAACTTATTGAATGATTGTGTGCTTTAAAATAAAATAATCTCATTTGTAACTACAATATATTGTTTGGCCAGAACTGCAAAAATTGAAATATGATTCCATCTATAACATATTTCAAGTGATTGATATATTTCCTAAGGCTACACCTGATTCTGCATGACACTTTATAAGTATCTCTGTCAACAGCACAATTTTACATTCAGCAAACCCACGACAAATACACATGACCTCTGATACGTAATATAAAATGGAAATCATTTAATAGGGCATCTTTTCTGTGCAAACACATAATATCGCCAACTTACAATATCTCCAAAGAAATCAGATGACCTGACATCTGTTCTGTCCGACTTCACAACATTGCAACACGTTCATAACAAAGCAAGGCCTTAGTAGATGCCACCGCCGTACCCGCCGTATCCGCCATAGCCGCCCTTTTGCGTGTACCCGCTGCCGAACTGGCCTCCTTGCTTGCCGCCGAACTGCTGCTCCTGCAGGGCAGCCTTCTTGCCGTAGTCGTTGTACCCGCCGCTCTGGCCGAAGCCCTGGTTGTCGCCGTAGTACGCCTGCTGGCCGTGCGCGCCCTTGTGGCCCTGCTGGCCGTCGGCGGAGTAGCCCGAGCCGTACCCGCCGTGGGCGCCTCGCCCTCCGGCGTAGTAGCGGCCGTCCTCCAGTTGGCCCTTGAACGCCGAGCCGCCCTGGTCGCCGAACTCGCCCAGCTCGCCCTGGTAGTTGTAGTGGTCGCCCTCGTCGGTTGATTCGTCAAAGAAGGTGGCGGTTTTGCCCACCTCGTCTTTGTGGTGGAAGTTCTGGAAGCCCTTGTTGCTGTGGCCCTTGCGGTGGCTGCCCAAATTCTTCAACTCGCCCTGGTTGCGACCTGGAAAACACGATGCGCTCGTGATAAGAGGTTGATGCGCACTAGTGTGAACTGGATTTAATTGTGGGCCTGATTCTGATTCTATTGTCAGTTTTCCGAAACGAAAGTCGGATTTCAGGCAATGTAATGTGTGGATTTTCGAGTGGTAATAAATGAATCTAGTTTCAGAAACAATTGAATCATTATCAAGAGAATTTTGAGTAATATCTTTTAACTTGTCTGTAAAATAAATGTTTGATTGTTGAGTGTAAGTCATCAATAAGAAAATACTCTATATTGCTGACGTATCGTCTAACATTATGACAATTAATGTTTATTAGATTTTGTGGTTTTTATAGAAAACATCATATTTCAATTAGGTAAAATCATGCGGTTGTCTCAAAGATCAGAAGTGTTATTACCCATTATGTGATTTAACATCATTGCACGGTTAAATATTAATGCGCGATGGTGAGACTTATTTTGCTAATTCCTTAAGAATCCATTGTGTATGTTTTGTGAATTATGCCAAAACAGTGCGTTCTTACAAATTGTTATTTCATTATGATTAAATACAAATTATTTTTGTTTCGCGAAACTTGGAAACATGGAAAGAACATACTAAAATATTAGAACAGGATCACTGAAACGTTAAATATAATGGCTTGGTGTTAATCTATGTACTCGAATTCCCTCTTTCTGAGACATTTACAAATCTCTACCAAAAGAAGATGTTTGTGAAAGAAATAATTACAATTTAACAAAAAAAATTGAACGTATATAGGTTAATCAGAATTTTGCATTGCAAATTAAATTTTGAACCTTAAACATTTCCTATATATAGACATATCTAGTTAATCTCGCTTATTCCACTGAAATGTCGTTTACGGTGAAAATATTTCTTCGTCAATCGATAAAGCAGTAACAATAACATTTTTCTCGCCTTATTTTGCTTCTTTCGTTTGTTTTACCATGTTTCGACAAGTAACCATGACAGTGTTGCATGAAAACATTTATTTTATAATTTAATGGTCTCGTGTTTGTATAGTACTAAATATACCTTGTGATGTTTATGCGAAATTAAATAGAAACATTACTATATACAATTGTGTAAATAAATATCATTGTGAAAAATATTGAACAAAATATTATATTAGTATATTCACAGACTGTGTACTTCAACGAGCGATAGTAACTTCGTTTCTGTTTTCGTGGTTCTCGAAAAGTATTACAAGTTTTACTGCAAAAGGCATGGGACGTCCAGCCGACTTCAGGCAAAGCCACACGAAAATGAGCTTTCATGGCAAAAGTTTAAAACTTTCAAGAGTGGGATAGCAGTAATGAAGATATAAGGACGTCTAGCATATACTACATGTCTGAGACAATACACAAATAACAATTTCGGGTTTTTCTTGTAAAGAATCGCGCAGGTGAGAATTTTGAGCTTGTTTTCTACATGTCGTGGTTGAAGGAAGAACGCGTTTCAGAAGTGGTGTCTTTTCATGAAGTAAAACAACAAAAACGTGTATGGAAATCAGAGAGTTTTAAGTAATAAGGGGGCCAATTTTCAAGGCAGGTGTATGTTGCTTTTCAGTGATATGTTTGGAACATCTTTTCAGGCAATGATTTTACGAACAATGTACATTTTAATAGCACAGATTTTAAGTTACTCACTACAAATATTTAAAGGCCGTTGGTCAATCTCAATAATATCCAGTGCTTAATTGTTAGATGATTCCCGTCATCAACTCTGAGTCTTAATGCGACAATCAACGTCTTGTGATCTGCAGTCATTCGTTCACTATTAACAATATGTTGCCTCAGCCAATTGGATAAAACGCAATGAAAGACCCATTAGTGGTATCCATTCCTTTGGCTACGCTCTCTCGTGATCACTGCTGCTCAAGGTACTATTTAATTCTCGCAAAACCGGCGATGCACCGTGAATCTCCCAACACCTGCCGGCAACCAGCACTAATGCACCTCTAGCAGCGTCATCTCGTTCGCGTGACTCGACAGTTGAACGTCTTCGGGTCACTTAGCGGTCAACCGTCGCCGTCGCTTCTTACGGTCGGCGGTGCACGGGTCGCCGCCGCGGGCGGGCTGCGAGCTGTTGGCAGCCCTGCCCGCCCGCAAGCGCGAAGCAGGCTGTGCGCGCCACGCTGCATTACCCGACCATTTTCAGCGGACGCGCTCGCGGGCTCCCAACAGCCGAGAAATTGGCCGCGGCGGGGGAAGAGGGGGCGGCGTGGGGAGAGGAGGGAGAGTGGCGGAGAGGCGTGCGAGGGAGGACGGGCGGGGAAAGGAGGGGCAGGACCGCGGCAGCCTCGCGTTTGCCGCTCGGGTCGCTCAATTGAATAAATACAAACACTCGTCCCGCGTGTGCGATCGGACAAAACCGTAAATACGCATTTGTGCCCTGCGGGCTCTCACACTTACAGGTCTCTCAGTTTCTCTGTCTGTGTGTGTGTCTCTCTCTCTCTCTTTTCTCCCTCTCTCTCTCGCTCTTTCCCTCTTGCTCTCACTTGCACACTCACACACTTCGTGTGCGTGTGTGCGCGCGCGCGCCTCTCTCGCTCACCGCGTTGTAGGCTCGTTCGCCACCCGACCGCACATGGGGGCGGCAGCGCATGCCCGCCCCTCCCTTCCTCCCACCCCCTGCCCCGCTCTTCAGATCGGCCGACCACCTACCGCCGCCCCCCCCTCCCGCGGCTTTCATCGCACTGGCTGCAGGAGCAGTGCGGTCGAAGAGGCGGAAACTCGGATTTCGACTTTCGACGAACAACGAATAATGCGCTTCTACTGAAATAATGGGGAACGGTTAGGCAGGGCGCGCGCTCCAGCTGCCTCTTGAGGAGGTTAATTTGCTCGCGGCGTGGATTTGCAGCGGACGTGCGCGCGCGCGCGTGCGCGCCAAATCTTCACTTTGGAGTGGGCTGTAATCCGCCTGCGAGTATGATAATGCTCTCTCGATGGGTTCCCGCCCGTCGAAATTCGATGCTTGAGTTCGCGTGAAGTTTTTAAAGCGTGAGTAATACTCGTTGGTCTCTATGAAACGCAAGTACGAATTACGACATACTGTTATTCAGTTACTAATCAGAAATTACGATGTTGCTCTAACGTTAGCACTCTGTATGTAATTTTTTAATGCTTTGTATTAATGACTGTTATTGACTAGTTTGATTGTTATATATTATGACTGTTACTGATACATATTATTATTTTTTTTCTAAAAGAAACATTTTAAAGCCATCATTATGTCAATGAGATAACAAATCTCCTCCCTTACTTTTACAACAAGCTAATATTAGCATTTTATAGACTCAAACTCGTAAACAACCCATAATATATTTGTTTTCTTTTTTTCAGTAATATTTTGTCTGGATTTATTGATTATTTTGTTCTGATATAAGACACATAAATGATAACACAAAATTGAACAGTTCTTTTTGAGAGATATATCTAATGATCAGATATTCTATTGTACTCCAAATTCTAAATTCCTCGGGACATATCAAGTTGTTAATTATTGTGCCGCAAACGTTAGCGAAAAGAACAAGTAACTGACGACAAATATTTTGAACTGGGTTGTTCAAAAGCGCAAGAGTTTGAATTAAATATTTATTCCTCGCAATTTGTAAAATTATATTTCCATGTATTGTCATAGCCGAGTATGACCTACTTTCCCAAATTTGTTTCCCTATTACTCAAATTTTTTAGCGGCACAGTGTTTCCAGCACGTGCATCTCTGTCCTGAGCGTATAGCCAAATTTACGCCTGTAATTGGAACGTACGTGTTTAAAGCGACACCGCGAAACATTTGTTTACTCGCGCTGCATTTTAGAGAAAAAAAAATAAAACGAATGCAGCCTTTTAAACTGTTGTAATTAACGCTTAGTGGGTTGGGCTGTGGAGGTGTGTGAGTGGGGTGGGTGGATGAGCCGGACAGTTGGATGAGGTGACGGTGTCCGTGTTGGTCTGCGGTGGAGTAAGTTTGGGACCGCAGAATTATCTACAAATTTGTAACTTCGTTTGGCCAGTGGTTGATTTGGCAATGCTACTTTTTTCTTGAGGGGTTGGGTTATAATAAATTCTTGTAAGTCTGTTTGAATGAACTGATAACCTATTGAATAATTCATTTCTAATATTAATTAGTCATTTCTTTGTAGTGAACACCCTTTTTTCATCATGATATCTCTTTTGAATTTCATACTAGCTCATTAAATATTGGTGTGAAAGTGAAAATAAGACAGAATGCACTAAAATTGTTGATCTAATTGGCTTGGAGCTCGTTGTAGAGTCTGAAATTATTCATATCTCAAAAAACGAGTTTAGAAATTAATGAAAGATACGAAGAGTCTAATTTGAAAACGAATTTTAACATTAAAAATGTGGAGTCGAATTGAATAAACAGAGATAACTGTTGGTGTTGCCATGATTTTCCGTTATCTAATTTCCAGATGCAATAGGGGTTTATTGAACTTATAATTGAATTTCAGCAATTTAATTAGTCAATTTCTCCGAATTTGTATTTGTCGATATGTCAAGCGTCGGAATGAAATTGAACAAATCGCCTCCGCTAGCGCCGGTCCCCTGCGAGCGAGGGCCCTTCGAATCAATCGAGCCCTGCATACGCACCTGCGAGCCCGCGGTTGCTGGCGCCGTACGAGGAGCCTCCTTGGTTGTAGCCCTTCCGAGCGCCTTCGTTGCTGCCGTAGAAGCCCGAGTCCTGCTGGCCGACGCCTTTGGCGGCCTGCACGGCCGAGAAGCCCGCTTCGTTGGCGCCTCCGGCCACGCCCTTCTGCGCGCCCCCGGCTTGGTACCCGGAGCCCTGCTGGAGGGCCCCGCCGCCGGCCAGCCCGCCGCCGAAGTTGCTGCCGCCGAAGCTCTTGAGCAGGTTGCTGCCGTAGTAGCC